AATATACATTAATGATTTGGACTCAGGAATCAGCAGGCCAATTTCAAAATTTGCAGACGACACCAAATTGGCGGAGTAGTTAATATAGAATCATAGAATTATAGAATCATACAATCATACAGAACAAAAAGAGGCCATTCGGCCCATCGAGTTTGTGCCAGCTCTTTGAGATGAGCAATGTAATATCAATCCCACTGCCCAGCCCTTTCCCCATAATCCTGCAAATCCGTCCTCCTCAAATACCCATCTACCGTGTTTTTAAAAGTTGTTATCAAATCGGCCTCGACCACCCTTTCAGGCAATGCGTTCCAGATTCGAACAACTCGCTGTGTGAAAAAAATTCTTCTCACCTCCTCTCTGCTTCTTTTAGAGACTATTTTAAATCTGTGACCTCGAGTCACCGACACACCCACCAGTGGAAACAGTTTTTCCCTTTCTAACCTATCAAACCGCCTCATGATTTTGAAGACCTCTATTAGGTCTCTTCGTAACCTTCTCTGCTCCAATGAGAATAATCCTAACCTCTGTAGCCTTTCCTCATAATCAAGGTCCATCATTCCTGGTACCATCCTCGTAAATCTCCTCTGCACCCTTTCCAATGCCTTAACATCCTTCCTATAGTGTGGTGCCCAGAATTGGGCGTAATATTCTAACTGAATATTAGGCAATATTAGGCAACCAGTGTTTTCTATAGGTTAATCATAACCTCCTGACTCTTGTACTCTATGCCCCTATTTATAAAGTCTGGTATCCCATACGCCCTTTTCACAGCTTTATCTACCTGTCCTGCCGCCTTCAAGGATTCATTTACCTGAACCCCCAGGTCTCTCAGTTATTTTACCCCCTCATTGAAAAATTCTATTAGATTTGTTAGAAAAGATTTGCCTTTAACAAATCTGTGCTTGCTGTCCCTAATTAACCCATATTCTTCTAATTGAAGATTTATTCTGTCCCGGATTATAGTATAGAGGAGGACTGCAACAAATTACAGTAAGTCATTAATAAACGTGCTGAATGGACATTTAAATGGCAAATGCATTTCAAATGTAGAAAAATGTGAGGTGGTACATTTTGGTAGAAGGAATAAAGAAGTCGTATGCATCCTGGAAAATAAAAACCTAAATGGGGTAGAGGAGCAAAGGAATCTAGGGATAGACATACACAATTCACTAAAAGTAGCAACCCAGGTTAATAAGGCCATAAAAAAGGCAAACCAGACATTGGGATTCATTTCTAGAGGGATAGAAATGAAAAGCAGGGAAGTTATGGTAAACTTTTGTAGAACCTTGGTTAGACCACACTTAATAATAATAATAATCTTTGCATTTGATATAGCGCTTTTCATGTCTTCTAGACGTCTCAAAGCGCTTCACACAATAGACTGCAAAGTGAATTGACCTTATATTTGTGGGCGAAAGAATACTGTGTGCAGTTCTGGTCCCCACTTATAGGAGGGATGTAGAGGCACTGGAGAGGGTGCAAAGAAAATTCACAAGGAGATCCCAGACCTGAGAGGTTATACCTGTCAGGAAAGGCTGAACATGCTTGGACTCTTTTCTCTTGAAAAGAGGAGGGTAAGGGGTGCCCTGATAGAGGTCTATAAAATTATGAAAAGTTTTGATAGGGTAGACATAAGGAAGATGTTTCCACTTATGGGGGAGGCCAAAACCAGGGGCCATCAATATAAAATAGTCACAAATACATCAAATAGGGAAGTTAGAAGAAATTTCTTCACACAGAGTGTAAAGGGAATGTGGAATATGCTACCACAAGGAGTTGTTGAAGGCAAATAGCATAGATATATTTAAGGGAAAGCTAGATAGGTACATGAGGAAGAAAGGAATAGAAGGTTATATTTACAATCTATATCAATGATCTAGATGAGGACATAGAACTTAAAATATCTAAATTCACGGGTGATACTAAGCTAGGTGGGAGAGTAAACTCTGAGGATGACACAAAAAGATTGCAAAGGGATATAGATAGGCTAGGTGAGTGGGCAAGAAGGTGGCAGATGGCATATAATGTGGAGAAGTGTGAAGTTATTCCCCTAGCTAGTAAAAACAGAAAAGCAGATTATTTTCTAGAGGGGGAGAGACTAGATAGCGTTAGTGTTCAGAGGGATTTGGGTGTCCTTGTACACCAGTCACAAAAAGGTAGTATGCAGGTACAGCAAGCAACTAGGAAGGCTAATGCCATGTTGTCGTTTATTGCAAAGGTTTAGAGTAGGAAAGTCTTGCTGCAACTGTGTAGGGCCTTGGTGAGACCGCACCTAGAATATTGTGTGCAGTTTTGGTCTCCTTATTTAAGAAATGACATACTTGCCTTGGAGGGGTTGCAACATAGATTTACTAGAATGGCCTACTCTCGCTCCTAATTCCTATGTTCCTATGTACGCTTGAAAGTTTAGTTGAGGAAGAGCAGGAGGAGGCTCATGTGGAGCATAAACACCAGCATAGACCAGTTGGGCTGAATGGCCTGTTTCTGTGCTGTATATTTTAATGTATTCTAAGTGGCCATAAAGTGAATAACCAATTTATCTGTAGAATTATTGACCTTCTCTTTTCAATATTGTAATGATATATAGGAAACTCCTGATAACTCGACCCTGGCTTAACTTGTCGCTATTACTTAAGTCATCATCCTGTCAATTCCCCAACCGTATTTATTTATATATTTATACATATGCCTAACTCGCCACTCTGGACAACTCATCACTGAGCCCTTTCCCCTTTCTTTTTGGTCAGCCAGATGTCTGCCACATGCGGAAACCCATCACCATGCTTAAGAATAAGAATATCCAACACAAACTGAGAATTCCTTGCATCGCATCTACACATGGAAATTCTAGAGATAAATTGTTTGAAAGGAATGTGCACTCTCTCCCCAGAGGGACACATCCTGGTTACCTAATTCCAGAAAGTATTAGGTGCAGTTTGGCAAGAGCCAAGGCTTGGCGTCCCCGGAGTGTGTGTTGGGAGTCTAAACAGCTAAAACCATATAGCTTGCTATTGAGCACACTGCCTGGCAAGCTTTCCATGGTTTGTCCATCTAGGACCATTGGGGATTTAGCTTGCAAAGTTAACAGGAGCTGAATGAGAAGAATCCCTGGTTCAAGTGACTGGTCTGCCTTTCCAAGTCCTGCCGATGAGCCAGGCTGTCTATGCTACCATCAGCAAAGCCCTGGAGTGCTGTGGATGTGCCTGTCTCAGGAACCAGACTACTGAATCCCCTACAGGGGGATCACTCAACCTTGTTGCCAAACATGTCACCTTGGAGCCAATTCAACTCCAAGAAGACCCCGCTTTCCTCCCCCCCACGGAGGATAGTCACTAGTTGGTCATTTGACCTCTGACACGTGGGAGTTTGAGCCCTCACTAAGTAGATGGTAGATACCAGGAACTCCCTGCAAGCTTCCTTGGTGGGCAACACAGCTCAGCATGAAGCAACACAGCTCAACTTTTCCTTTCGTGTGACGAGTTATCAGGAGTTTACTTTTAATGTCTACCTGAACAGGCCACCTGAAAAACAGCAACCCAAACAGTGCAGTCAGTGCTCACCCAATACTGCACTGGAGCATCAGCATGGAGTATGAGTGCAAATCCGGGCATCCGGCTTGAACCCACATCCTTCTGATGCAGAGAAGATAGCGCTACCAACTGAGCGAAAATAATGTACGCCCATCCTGATGTGACAATCTAGACTGAGCAGCAATGCAAAGCTGCACACAACTAAGTCGAAAACCATCAAATGATTTAGTAACTGGGGTTGAGCAAGAATTGTGCCAAGTGGTTATCAAGCTATATCCTGCCACGTACACAGAGCAAAGTAATGTTTACAATCATGTTATGGCAGAGACAGTGTCATACTTAAGCAAACCGTAGGGTGACTTTAAATATTGTGGGACATTGCCCGACAGAAGTTTAATTATTTTGATCATGTAAGATTTCAATATATTCTATATATATTTTTTTTCTTTTTGTTTTTTATATATATGTACACCATATTCTGTGAAGCCCTTGAGACATTTCAAACACGTGATAAGGTGCTATATCAAATACAAAATGTAATTATTATTATTTCAATCCCCCCCTCCCCCCACCACCACCACCGTCTCCGCTGTACATTTTTTTAAACTTCCATTATTCTGCGGATTCTTACACATTTGGATAAAAAATAATCTCGCGCCAGTCAAAACATACCACTTTACGTACTGGCAAACTGTTAAGAAACACAAAAATAAGCAGCACAGAGAGGGACATTTTGTGTATGGTACTCTTTGAAAGAGTAATGGTTCAAGCCATTCATCTGTCTTTTCCCCCAGAGCCCTTATCCACAGTCAATCCATTTTTACAACATATCCTGTGAAGCGCTTTGAGACGTCTCAACGACGTGATAACGGGCTATATCAAATGCAAGGATTATTATTATTATTATTATTAACCATCTTTATTGCTGGATTCTTTTCCACTATAATAACAATCCGTTCTATCCACTTTTGATGAAACCTTCAGGAACATGTTGGCTCCCCATGTGCTGGGCAGGTTTCTGGCCAGTGTTGCTTTGTCACGTATCAAGGACATGTTTCTCTGCAGCAAAGGTGAATTGTCGGTGAGTCAGTAACACGAGAGGGAGGAGGAGGAGGAGGAGGATGGGGGAGAGAAATGCAAGGCTAAGAGCTACAAAAAAAAAAACGCGCATTGTTGCATTTAATATACCCCAAAAAATACATATTTCTCACCCCCCCAAAAAAAAAAAAAAAATCTCCACCATCGTGTAGGAGGCGTTGATCCACCGGTTGTTTCGCTTTAAACTCGTACCATCTCAGAACAGATGGGTTCGCAGAGCAAACGTGAGGCTGATGTGGCTGAGAGGCTGCTTTGGTGGGATGACTTGTATCGACCAAAGACAGTTAAATAACAATCTCTACCCCCCCTCCTCCTCCTCCTCCCTCCCCATCCTACCCTCCCCTCCTCCTAACCCAGATCTGGAGGCTTTACCTGGGTGCACCTGGCAGCAGAGGAGGAGCAGGTAGATGGTGGAGATGCTGTGTGTCACTCGTGCGTTGCTCATGTTGACCTCAGTGGTGATGGTGACTGGGATTCACAGACCTCCCTGGTCTTTCTGATCGCGTCTCTGTCTGATTCTCTTGACTTCTCTCTCTCTCTCTTTAATGTTACTTCCTCTATTCTTCAGTCTCCCCCCGTCTTCTCTTTCCTGTGTGCGTGTGTGTGTGTATCCTCAATCTCTCTCTCTCTCTCTCTCGGTGTGTCTGCACTCCTCCTGTCTGCACTCAACCCCCTCCTTTTTCTCTCTCTCTCTCTCTCTCTCTCGGTTTCCTCTGTCGTCTCTTCTTCCTGAAGGTTAAAACGTGCGCATGTAGCGATCTCTCCTGATCGAAAATGCAACCTCTTCTCTACCACCTCCAGCACCACCCACCACCCCTTCCCCTCACTCTCCCCTCCAGCAGAAACTTTGAGCCCAAACGTTATTGACACAAGAAATAAGTCATTGCACAAGAGCAATTAGGGAAAGGTGCAGCTTTCACCTTGCACTTTGTTCAGATAAATGCTGGTGTTTTGATGACAGTGAGCAGTGGAAGGAATAAAGCTCTGGTGTCCTGTCTGGTTCCACATGGTGTCTGTCTCAGCAGGTGTTTTCTAAGTGACCGCAAGCCTGACCGTAAGCACGATCAAAAAGGAAGGGCTTTAGGTGGGATTTGAAAGTCGGGAGGGAGGGGGCAAGGCGGAGGGATTAGAGGAGAGAGTACCAGAGCTTCGGGGCGCTGTGACTAAATGTGACTAAATGGCTGCCAATGGTGGAGCGGAGGGGCTGGGTGGTGGAGTGGGGGGTGAGCAAGTCGGAAAGGTTGGGAGGTGCGAGGGCATGAAGGGATTTGAAAAGAGAGGAGGATCTTGAAGTCGATCCGTTCGGACATTGCAGCCTGGCAAGGTCTGGTGTGATGGGGGTCCGGAGTTTTGTGCATGATTGTAAATTAATTAGCTGTGTCAGTAACAGTTATATTCCTGTAATATCCTGCCCCTGGTGCCCTGATCCTGACTGCTCTATAGTCCCTTGTCTTTTTTTTCTTCTCCCTCTGCTTATATAATCATTATGCATCTGTGCCAGTTTCACTCAGGAGGTCAATGCTGCAAAGCATTGTATGATCAGGGAGATCTCCTTTATCAGATTGGAAGCAATTTAAACCGCAGATGTTTTAAATCACCAGCACCAAGATATACAACAACAACAACTTGCATTTATTTAGCGCCCCACACGCAGGCAGTGGCCCAGAGCGCTTGAGCCAGGGGGAGGTGATCATGGGAACGATCGAAGAGGAAGTTCTTCGGGTGCGGCCTGAAGATGGGGAAGTAGGAGACAAAGTGGACAGCTTGAGTGTTTTAGAGTTTCGGGGCGTAGTGGCTGAAAGTGAGGCCATCGATGTAAGCAATGGGTAGTGGATTGGAGAGTAAGAAAGTCAGAGAGGTAGGGAGGTCACAGGGTAGCAAGGGATTTAATTGTGAGGATCTTGAAATCAATCGGTGATAGGGAGTGGAGCCTGGATAGATAGGATGCAATGGGGGTATGGAGTTTAGTGTGGGTAGGCATTTTTAGTATATAGTTTCATTTTATCCAGACACGAATGATATACCTGGAGAATAAAGACTGGATTGGGTTTATAGTCATCACTTTGATTAATAAAGATCACAACAAAACAATATGATTGACTACTGTTCATTTAATGTGCTGTTTCATTGCTCCGAGGGATTTTGTGTTATTCAGATGTCTGCTGGGGCTGGCAGACCTGTGAGTAACAAAATTCACACCAGAAGATTAAAGATTATGATGCGTTTGCTGCATTGTTCATCGGCAAGTAATCCGCAGTTGATTGAAAGTATTTCTATGTGCAGTCCGTATTATACAGCGGTCCGTATTATGCTGTCTGGCAGTGATGCTTACAGACAGATATAGTTGTGTCATTGATCGCAAGAGCAAAGTGGTTTATCAATCTCAGTAAAACTCATCAGATGAAATACACTCGCTCCATTTTGTTACTTATTCCTGAGTGGATAGAAGTTATGATCCTTTAAATCCCTCCGTGGCCTCACCATCTACCTATTGTTTCCTCCTGCAACCCACTACCCAACCTTTCCCTCTGATCTCTCTGCTCTGCAAACACCGGCCTGTTTCATGTCCTCCGCCCGATCCACTTTGACATCGGTGGAGGAGCTTGCTCACTTGCACAATTGGAATGTCGAGTTTGCCTAGAAACACAGTCACTTCACTTTGCAAAAAATCCTTTGCGTGCTTTGGGATGTCCTCTCAACATGAAAGGCACTGTATCAAAGGATAAGGGGGTAAGGGGTGCCCTGATAGAGGTCTTTAAAATGATGAAAGGTTTTGATAGGGTAGACAAAGGGAAGATGTTTCCACTTGTGGGGGAGACCAAAACCAGGGGGCATCAATATGAAATAGTCACAAATAGATCAAAGAGGGAAGTGAGCAGAAATTTCTTCACACAGAGAGTAGTGGGAATGTGGAACATGCTACCACAAGGAGTTGTTGAGGTAAATAGCATAGATGTATTAAGAGAAGCTGGATAGGTACATGAGGGAAAAAGGAATAGAAGGTTATGCTTGAAGGCTTAGTTGAGGAAGGGCAGGAGGAGGCTCATGTGGAGCATAAACACCGGCAAAAACCAGTTGGGTCGAATGGCCTGTTTCTGTGCTGCATATTCTAATGTATTCTAATGTAAATGCAAAGATTATTATTCTACCCAAATTCTCTGGACCTCAATCCCACCCCCTCCGCCCTCCCTCTCTATGAAGTCTGCCTTAAGGCCTTTCGTTTTGACTCTGCTTTTGATTACATGTCTCCTTCTCTACCCCCACAGCTCCCAAGGTGGTGGACAGTTAGGGGTCAAGACTCGAGCATGGGGGAGGTGTGGGGCAAGGGTGAGGGAAGGCAGAGAGGTGGGAGGGTGACCGAAGGCACGATCAGAGAGGAGGATCTTGAGACTGGCCTTGAAGGAGGCAATGGGGGAAGTGAAGTAAAGGGACTGTGGGATGGAGTTCCAGAGTGTGGGGGCAGAGAGGTTGAAAGCCCAGCCACTGATGGTAGGGCGGGTCGGGTGGGAGACATGGAGCAGGCGGGAGCCCGCTGAACAGGGGAATGAGCAGGTTGGTAGGGAGTCATCAGGTCAGAGAGATAGGAGGGGGCAAGGCCATGGATGGCCTTGAAAGTGAGGACGAGGATCTTGAATTTGATCCTCTGAGGGATGGGGAGCCAGTGGAGTCGAGGGTGGGAGTGATGTGGTCACGGAGCCAGATGCGCGAGAGTACACGAGCTGCAGAGTTTTCGATGATCTACAGCTTGCGAAGGGAAATGTTGGGAAGGCCTTAATGTGACAAATGCGTGGGTGAGGGTTTCGGCAGCCTGAGGGGTGAGGCAGTGGCGGAGTCTGGCAATGTTGCGGAGGTGGTGGTAGGCAGTGCTGATCATGGCACGATGGGGGGGAGAAAGGACAGTTCAGGGTCAAACAAGACACCCAGGTTCCTGACTGGCTTAGTGAGGTGGAGTGTGCAGTCGTGGATGCTGATGCTGCCAGTGCTCGTGGTGTGGAGGCGATGGCGCGAGCCAATCAGGAGGGCCTCGGTCTTGCTGACGTGTACAATAACCACAGTTCACAGAAAAAATCCTGTGAAGCCCTTTGAGAAAAGTTGACAACATGATAAAATTCTAAATCAGGTGCAAAGATTATTATAAATAGAGTAAGTCAAGTCCCAGGTGAAATTTCTCCGCTTTACCTATCCAGGCAGAACATTACAACATAAATGTGATAGACAGCAAATACCATCAATTTTATCCCAGTGTTTCTCTGCAATCTATGCGGAGTTCCGTGTTTTGTTCCAATTTGTAGTTGTACTTGAAGTGTGCACAGTTCATGTCTCCTACATGTTTAATAGAGAAGAACTTAAAATACACTGAAGATAATAGTTTGGTTAATTTTGCCCTAATATCACCTGTTCTAGATATACTTTATTATTCAGAAATACGTGCTAGGTATGAATTTGTTATATCTCATTGAATGTTTAGTCATCTAGAACAATAAACTACCTCATACTAGGTTCAGATACTGAGTTTAAAACCTTTTGACTGAAAGCATATAAAAGAAAAAAGTATGAGTATGATACAACAACAACAAAATTACATTTATCGAGCGCGTTTCACATCGGGAGGACGTCACAAAGCGCTGAACAGTCAGTGTTTTGGACAAAATATACAGTCAATGTGTTATTGGTTTTGAAGGGATATGATATTAAATGCAAGTATCGTATAATCTGAAGAAATTTTTTCATTCCACTAATGGTGAGTCAGACAAGCTGCTTATCTATTAAAAGTGCCTTAGAACATTTCAGGCTTTGCCCGAAATGTGAGACACTGAAACCACAGACACCTCCCCAAATAGGGGAATGTACAGGGGAATTCTCCAGATACAGTTTATCATTTCATTTCATGGATGTTTGTGGGTAAGCGTAACTGACTGCAACTTTTGCCTATAAAAGTCGTTACACTTTACAGTAAATCCTACAAAGTGCTTTGAGACATCCTCCTAACGTGAATAGTGCTATATCAAATGCTAGCATTATTATTATAAATGGATTGAAGCGCCTTCTTCATCCAAACCTATCTTGTGATATTAAGTTCCATTGTGATTCTACAATATAGGAATTACAGGCCCAAAGAATATGAGACTTGCATTATCTTGCAGTACATAATATCTGATTACAGGGGAAAAGAAAATTGGTCAGCCATGTGTCTGACACATGCAGAAACCCATCAATTGCTTAAGAGTATCCAAACCAAGCTAAGAATTCTGGAACGCATTGTTTCAGGTCAACTCCCTCCACTCCCTCCTCGAGCTCTTGCAGTCTGGTTTTCGCCCTGCCCACAGCACAGAGACAGCACTTGTCAAAGTCGCAAATGACGTCCTCTCTATCTGTGATCAGGGCTCCCTCTGCCTCCTTGTCCTCCTGGATCTCTCTGCCGCGTTCGACACAGTCGACCATGCCATCGTCCTCCGCCGCCTCTCCTCCCTCATCCACCTTAGTGGGACTGCACTCACATGGCATGAGTCCTACTTAACCAACTGCCTCCACTTCAACTCGGCAAATGGTCTCTTCTGCCGGCCTCACCCAGTCGCCTGCGGGGTACCCCAGGGCTCCATCCTTGGTCCTCTTCTTTCCTCATCTACATCTTGGTGATGTCATCTGCAGACACGGGGTAAACTTCCACATGTATGTGGATAACTTAGATATCTATTTTGACTCCTCCAGCTGGACTCCATATCCGCCGATTCTATCAGCTTGTCTGGCAGACATCAAGGCCTGGATGAGTGTAAACTTCCTGCAGATGAATATGGACAAGACAGAAGCCATATTCCTTGGCTCCCATCAAAGTCTGTACACCTACGGAT